TTACGCTGATCCGGTAAATATGTACTTTTAGGGTCTATAATGAGTATTTCGAGATGTTACAAACAGAATGACAAAGTTAATATACCCTCCAAATACTCCCACCCTCTTCAATCTTCGCATTTTAGGGACATAGTATCTTCGGCAATATTGATTATAAGTATATCGTTTTTTTTTTTTTTTTTTTTTTTTTTTTTTGTGAAACCTTATACAAATTTTCAGCCAAATCAATTGAAGAATGATGTCAAGACCCTCGCATTAACTAAAATCAGTTAGCATCTCTATTAAAAAGAAAAAGTATTAAAAGAAAAGTAAAGTAATCGACTGTCTGACTGACTTAACGATTTATCAACGCCCAGATGAAACGGTTTAAGATAGAATCTTTATATTTTGGGTGACGGTCATTCTTGGTCCGAAGGTGTCAGATAAGGCTGGGAGTTTGGAAATTTGTATTAGAATGGTCCGAAAAGTACTAAATATGGTACTCTTATACTTGGACTAAAACTCTTATACTTGGGTCACTGATGGAATCGTACTGAAATGTACTATATTTGGTACCATTTCCAATCATGTAAAAGGTTAGAGCGGTTAGATTTGGAAATAAGATTATTATTGCATTTTATGATTGTGGTATGTGAGAAGCTTTGGAAATTCGTACTTATGTGTACTTAATGGTAATAAATTTAATACATTTTAATTTTGAGTAAACCCGTAGTGTTGAAAATTGAAAATACGATTTCTATTGGGCTGTATGATGTAGCTAGTTATGGACATTTGTACTTAAGTGTAATAAATGATACTACATTTGGTGCAATTCGGATTTGGGTGAACCAATAAAGCTTCTATCCTGAAAATTGGAAATAAAATGACTGGCGGAGTGTAGGATTGGGATATGTAGGTACCTTTAGAAATTTGTACTTATATGTACTAAAATGAACTTAATAAAGTACAATCTTTAGTTGGGCTAACCAATAGGGGTGGAATCCTAAATTTTGGAACTGAGATTACTGTGGGAATGTAGGAGGCTTTGGAAATTCGTTCTTATATGTACTAAATGGTTCTAAATTTGGCACGAATAGGAATTGTTGGACTGTTGGAGCTAGATTTCAGAAATTTGGAATGAGGATCACTGAAGCAGTGCAGGATAGATGCACCAAAGGGTTATTGGAAATTTGAACTTTAAATTTAGAAAATGTTCTAAAATATTACTAAACTTCTAAAATCGTGCCATTTGGTATTACGACTGTATATGGACGGCTAAAGCTAAAAACTAGAAATTTCGTATGAAAATCAGGGTTGGAAAGTAAATTTGATATATATGAAAGTGATTTTGGAAGTGTGTACTAAGTGTGCGAACTGTACTAAATGGTACTAACTTTGGAATAGTTTGGTGAACAGAAGAAGCTTTAATTTTAAGATTTTACATTAGGATCCCAGTTGGCGGTCGGTTTGTGAAAAAATAGTTTTAGAAATGGGTACTACAAATGCACGAATAGTAGTAAATTGTGCTATATTTGATATATTTTGGTATTGAGTGAAGATAATGCTTGAAAGGTCTCTTGAAGTGATTTTGCAAATGCGTACTATAATTGTTCGAAAAAATTAAGTTTGCTAAGTTTTAAGAAAAGGGCAAAACTTGAAAAATATATAAAACCATACAAGTCTTAAAATTTAGAAGGCTGTATGAGGTTTTGAATAAAAATTATGTCGGACTGAACATATTGTGCTTCAAGGATTCCGAGGAATTTCAATCCGAAATTTTCAAAAATATAAGAGATGGAGGAACTTTCCCTCTCTACTCAAAATAATTTGCGATATTTGTTTTCAAAACGCCGATGCAAGTGTCTTCTATTTTTAGCTCTACATTCATTATCTGCTGAGTCGTTCCTGTAATTATGGAACAAATGATTTTTGTCGTACCGTATTAGTAAGGAGTTACGATATATAAAATAAAATATATACACAATATATTAAAATAATAAAAACCAACTGTCGCCATGATACAACCGTAGCAGTTAAATCCCCATTCGAAATCGTATCATATTAAGTTCTACAATCAAATCCGAAAAAGAGTCTCATGTTTACATTCTCAGCTCAACTAAATTGGATAATAGTTTAATACTTGTCTAGTGATAATGTGTGTTTCTTGTTTTTGTTTTTCCCTCTCTCTCTGACAGTTTCCATTAATTTCACACATTTTCTTTAAGCCACAATATTTGGCCTTGTCATAAGAAATAAACATTATGGCCAATGAATGTCTGTGGTACAGTTTGTGAATTAGACAATAGCGAGAAAAACAAAACTGATAAACTTTTGCTATTGTTGGAAGGGCAACGTGCATTTGGTATTTGTAGAACTAAGCAAATCCCTTAAACAAGGGCTTAGCTGACACTTTACTAGGATGTAAATTTGAAATCTCTGATTTGAAAGTGTTTTTCTTTTCTACGCCACTGTTATGTTGACGACATGTTGGTTAGTCAGATTGCCAAAACAAAAAAGATTTTAGCTTAACAAAATAGGATTTTCTAGCAAACTTAGAATTGAACAAATAACTTTTCAAATAAAAAATTAAACTTTTATAAATTAACATATACAGTTTGAGAAATTGTACACATATGCTTTTCATAGAGATATGAATACATATTGTTAACTTGGAAAAAATTAATCCAAAAATGTATATTCTCTCCAGAATACTGCCTTCATCTAATGTTCACAAATCACTTATTTGGTCTAAGGAAGAATTTCATTGCAAATGGTGGTAATCGGTTTAAATTTAGATATATCATTTGGTACATAATAAATTTGGAGATAATATAGCTATAGAACTCATATATATTTTCAATCCGATTTCTTGTTTATTGGGCACCACACGTCCGAATTTGTTCATGAACATATTGTAAAAATTGTTTCATATATAGGCCCCATCACCGAGGTAATAAGGTGGCGGGCCGCTAAATGGTAAATTTGGTACCAGGTCATAATCCTCACGGAAATAATCTCCATTACAATTATGGGGATTATGATCTTTTTGGCGGTTGTAACCCCACAACGGTTGTAGGAAGTAGGAAACATAATCGCCATAATAATTGGGATTATGTACGGGCTAAAGGAATTTTGTTTGAAAATTTAATTGACTCCAAATAGATATTAATTTCACTTAGTTTCCCTGCGATAACAAATAGCAGGTGAGCAAAGGCTATAGTCGTGCGGCAATATGTTAGAAGCTCCCTTTTGGATATCTATTTTGGAATATTTCGCTTTTGAAATTATGTCACGGAGCACTTCCCAGATATTACCCTCAGCATTTTGAACATTTACAGCTAAATATAATCCAATTGTCATCCAAAATACTAGAATTCCTCCCTGTCTTTAACTCTCTTCTCAGGCGCGTCGATTGGCTTCAATTGTGTTTTCAAGCATTTTTTTCTGTTTTTGGTTCATTTGAACACCTAAATATTTTGCTACCATCTCCAAAAGCAAGATGTCCTTTTGTATCTCCAAATTTAGACTTATCTATATGATTTTCTGGCCTACGATATTTGGCTATATTCGTCAACGAAATCAGCATAAAGAGCCAGAAGTTCGCCATTTATGTATTTCGGATATCACCTGTGGGTAATGTTGGCATTTTTACATACAAAAGTAGTGGTCCATTCTACCCGCTGTCCAAAACTCTAACTTCATCCGAGATTTTGTGTCCTTTGGTTTCTATTTGTGACCTTTATAACGGCTGCAAAGTCAGGAACATTTTTAGTTGTTGGTCCATTTCAACGCCTAAATATATTGCGGGCATCTTTGAAAACAATAGGCCTAGCCCTTCTGAGCCTAACCCTACCCTTTTCGTGAGGATCGGACGATAATTGATAATCTGTATAATATAATATATAATCTGTATAAAATAATCCCAACCTGTGTTGTAAGGTGAAAAAATATCACAAAATATACACCTCAATATTATAAGTCAAATTGAAAAATTAGCATGCGATAAAAAATATGAAAAAATAAAAAAAGTCACAAAATACTATAAAATCTATATTATCATCATTATAGGCATCTTTTTATTTGATTTTTTTTTTTGGATTTAATTATTTTATGCCAAGAGGGCATTCTGAATTGACAACATTTGTCAAAAGCGGTCCAGCCATTCTTGAGATATAAGCATTCTAGCTAATATCCCCTTCCTTTGTATATACACATTGTACATATTTCTCTATAAATATCCGATATATTTACTATCTACATCGACGTAACGATCAGAATTGACCTGTTTGTCTATTTGTGATTTCGCGGGGATCAAAATTATTCGCGGTTTAATGGTAAATTTGACTTTTATTTATCACAAATGTTATGGTATATTTCACCCACTAAATATTGCCCGATTACCATCAAAATTGGAAGGCTACTGCCCAGCCCAAAATTCTAGCTCCATAGTAACATCCGCTTCGATTGGTCTATAATTGTGAACTGTAGAGCAACTGGAAAATCAGGAAATTTTTCAGTTTTGCGACCTGTAGAGTGATTACAAATTAACATGGACAGAGGGACAGGCGGACGGACGGACATACATAGCTAGATCGACTCAGCTCGGCGAGATAGGAAGATCCATATATATTTTCCTATGTGGGAAACAAATATTTCGAGGTGTTAAATAATTTTTGGCCCAATCAATCTTATAATATAAAAAAATATATAGAATTCATAATTAATAAAAAAAGTTGATTTATTGGCAAATATTCAGTAATAAAATCATAGATACGAATGTATTTTTGATGGAATGTTCATTCAAACTCAATTAATATTTTCAGAGAAATTTTTTTGTGTAAACAACAAAAAATTCTCCAAATTAAATTCTTAGAAATTTCACCATATTCTTAGAAATTTCACCATATACGCCAGCATAAGGTGTCAAACTTTGGACTTTGCTTAATACAACGCCTACGTAAAATTGAGTTTTGGTTCAATGAATTTTGGCTTGTTTGCATGGACATTCAACCATCTGTTATGGTTCTATCCTGTGAAGAATTTGGGACGAGCTGTTCGGCTGCTCAGTGCAACTCAGGTAGAGTTCCAACCCACTCAGTCCCCTTTGAACCTGAACAAAAAAAAAGGTATCTTTTTACTCAAAATCACAAACCCCTCTCTGCACTAGAGACTTGGTGAATCTGTCTCACACTGGCCCTCCCAACCTAGGCTTATAACATCCGTCCAATTCTTATTACAAAGCCCCACAACATTTTTACAAACACATACCAGTTTAGTTTACCTTACGGAATCCTCCCCAAAATTGACGACACTTAGTGTTCCATATTTGGCGCTAGAACGCTGACATTTTTATATTTAAGTATACTAAAAATACAACATTTAATTGACAAACAAAAAAATAATTTATGTTACACTAAAAAAATCTCAGAGACCTACAAAGTCCAAAGGTTTGCCCATTTGTTGGCCGTAAATCTAACGAAAAATTTCCTGCCTAAAAGAGCTCACTTAGGCTAGTAATGAGATGGTTCATTCGTACCAAAAAATCCTATTTAAAAACAAATGACTTTGTATATCCCATCTAACATTTTTTTTACCTATACTAACGATACAAATACACAATCTACTATTAAAACTTAAAATTAGATATATTAAAATTCAATCCTTATACCTAACTTAGATTATCTCCTTCTCTCCTTCCCTTGTTGCTACTATCTTGCTCTTTTATATATATATATATATTTTTTTTTTTGATACGCGTGATTTTGTTTTGATTCTTTAGTTTCAGTATATTTTTTTATCTGAATATCAGAAGGTACTTTTACGATTAATTTTATTGTCCTTAACTTTTTCCGTCTTCTCTCAGGACCTGTTTCACTTCTTCAATTCTTTATAACTCTGATTTTGAGGTATGTTATTAAATCATTAGCGAGTACTTTAAGGTTTTAAAAATGTTATCTTCTTACTACACCATTATACTTATTCATTTTCTGGCCTGTAGTCCTTTTTCGGCTATGGTGGAACTTTTATTCGGATCTTCGGGTATCAAACACCATCCACAAAAATGAAGCCCTTCGGTCAGTCTTAGTGCAAGACTTCTTAGGTAGTCTCTTGGTGCGGTGTGATTTGTTTAAAAGGGTGCTTTATCTCCCAGCCCTGTGTTTCTTATTTCCTGGGTAACGACTCTGTGGTCACTCGCTCACTCAGGCAATTTTCATTTAAAAAATATTTAATATATCCTTTTACTTTTATTTTCAGCACACACATCCGGATATCTTCCAGCGAGGCCAGAAATTTAAAATTTCAACTTCTATTATTTTTAGCAAAAAAAATTTTTGTACTTCTTTAAGCACTACTAAATTATTGAACACCGCACGATTCTTTGCACAACTGACTCAACGCGTAGGAAAACGTGGAACTAAATAGAACCCATTATGAACTGCAAATATCAATTTTTATCAAAATATCGAATATCGACAGTTACCATTATATGGGGGCTGTACCAAAACGTGGACCTATACATACAATTTTTCGCCATACGAACTAGAACATATTTTGACCCACAAATACAAATTTTAAGACAAATTCGTGGGAAAATCTGGCAAAAATTATCAAAATACTGAATATCGGGTGGTATCGTTATGTGGGGGCTATACCGAAACGTAGGCTTATATTCGCCGCCGGAGCTAGAACCCATCATGGCTAACAAATTCCAATTTTTGGACAAATTCGTGGGAAAATCTGGCAAAAATCATCAAAATAACGAATATTGGGATGTACCGCTATATGGGGGCTATACCAAAACGATATTTTTGTAGGATTTTTGGAAAATTTTATTTGCTCCAAGTTGCAATTAATTTCGCTTGGTATTCTTGGAAAAATATATAGGATTCACAATAAATAAAAAATTGATTTATCGGTAAATATTCAATAATAAAATCATTAAAGAAAGGTCAAAGTCGTACTGGGCTGACTTTTTGATACCCTACACCACTTTGCATATATAGTAGAGCTACATATAACAAATAAACGCCTTTAGAAGGAATTTATGAAAATAAAAACATACCAAATATGATAGTTTTTAATGCGTATTATTCATGAAAATACATCCTATTTGAGCTGATATTACACTTTATAGGCGCAGTAAATGTGAAATCGGATGAAGATATATATGGGAGCTATATTCAAATCTGAACCGATCTCTATGTAATTTAGCAAGGATATTTCTATGCTGTATCTGATAGTTGGCACCAAATATCATTGTTGTGGAGAGTATTTTATTATTTTTACGAAATAATTCTATGCAGATCGTAAAAAGGAAATATGGGTCTAACTCGCTTCTTCCTCTATGTTACAAAAAAATGCACCAAGTTATAATACCCTGACCACAGTATGGTGTAGGATATAAATATGGAAGACGGTGGAACTTGTCCCTTCAACTTTGGATCATTTGGGGGATACATTTTAAAAGCCCTGATATTGGGATGTGTGAAATTTGAAGATAATAGGACTCTTAAATCACATTTTATGAGAGTTGTAATTATTCAAAATTTTGATCATTTGTGGGGGAGGTACTTGATGGAGTGGACCCATATTGTCCACTTTCACACCTGACCTAGACCTGACGCAAATATTAGGATTTGCAAAGTTCGAGCAAACTCGGACTATCCTTTCTCTTTCTGTGCAAAAAATATATTTTTTGAAAATTTCGACCTTTTGTGGGGGAAGTACCAGAAGGAGTGGACCGATATTGCCCATCTCCGAACTCGATCTAAGCTTGACAAAAATATTACGATGTACCGAGTTTGGACCAATCGGATACTCCGTTCGAGAGTTATCGTGCACGGACGGACATCGCTAGGTCGGTTCCAAATGTTCTGAAACGGACTTGGTCCAAAGAGACCTAGGGTCTAAAACCGTTATTTCCACTAGGTACGTTTTGACCGTATCTAATTGTATATACCCTCTGAAGCCATATGGCTGATGGTATAATTAATCACTTTCATTAATTCTTCACGAAGCAAGTTTACATCGTTTCAAGCAAGCATGTATCATAATTTTAAAGAACCTATTTAAGCTCTACATTATCTGACTTAAATACCTATTTTCACTATAATCTACTTCGAAGCGACGAAGCCACAAGCCAACACCCAAATGACAACAAGGGCTGAAAGTCTCAAACAATTAATTACAGATATCGTTTGAATTTAATTACTTCGAAGAATTCGACAAACTCGACGAAGTGTATTGAATTTATTGTGAAAATGCCGGAGATGCCATTAAAGGTGAAGACGATGCAGAGATCAACTTAACTCATAAGCACCCAATCTGCAGTTTATGCAGAGTTATGCCAATATTATACTTTATCGCCAATAAATGCCAATAAAATTGGCCATTACTATCGACTTGCATTTAATTAAAATTACATTAAGGGATACCTCAATTTTCATAGCTTAAATAGGTATTTAAGAAAGCGTGATTTAATATCTGAACAATTTGTTAAATGTGTGATGGTGGGACAATAGTTCACGTTTGCAGTGATTTCAAAGAAGTGAATGTCATAAATGTGTGTTTCCACGGGTAATGGGGTCAATATATTCTGCTGTAAATGAACAGTTAACATTTACACGTTAAATAATATTGAGAAAAAAAACAGTAAATTTTTCTCTTTCTTTTTAAAATTTTGCCAAATGTAAACAACAGACCGATAGTTAATATTTTTAGCAAAGATACCAAAAATGCTTCTGTTTAAGACTTACAACCTTCTAGAATGGAGGTGTTGTCGCTTCGAAATTTTGCTCAGACATTTATATTGTATTATATTTTATTAAAAATGGGACATATCGGTTTCGGTATGACCTCCATATAGCGTCACTCCCTGATTTTCGGTATTTTGAATGCTTTGACCACGATGTGCACCATTATGTGAGGGCTATACGAAAACGAGGACCTATACATAATATGTTCCGCCACCGGAGCTAGAACCCATTACACAACTACAACTACCAATTTTTACACAAATCCGTGAAAAAATGTGTCGAAAATCATCAAAATACCGAACGTCGGGAGGTACCGTTATCCATCCTAGACACAATACAAATTGTGCTGCCATGATACAGTTAAAACGACTTATAAATTTATGCTGATTATGAATATATATACTCTTGGGGTCTACGACGAATATTTAGGTGCGGGGTATAAAAAAAATTAAGCTCCCAATTTCAACACAAACGTGCAATAAAAAAAAAACTAAAGAAAAATTAAACCGTAGCTGAGATATTTCTTATTCCGTGGCTTGATGGGAACTCATGTTATATATAGTCCTATCTTACAAGTAATCTTTACATAAATACTTAGACGCATGTACTTAAATATTCCCTGTGACCAATATTCATTATACACAGCGCCCATAATGTACTGCGGCTATCATACTATATACACTAGGTGTCCGAAGTCTACGCTCAAGAAGTTAAATAAACGTGGAGTTTACTGTTACCATTATCTTATCCTCCACCATAAATATATAAAATTTGTCATTTGTCAAAAAGTATAGTAGTATATATTCCTGATCGGAATTAAGTTATAAGCCGATTTAGCCCTGTCCGTCTGTGTGTCTGTTGAAATCTCTTACGTTTGAGCTCTTACGTTTTAGACAACGGTTTTTAAACAGGCTCTTTTTTATTAAAAATGAACCATATTGGTCCACGTTTAGGTATAGCCCCTTATAACGGTATCTCCGGATTTTCGGTATTTTGAAGTTTTCTCCCACAATTTCCAACAAAAGCTGTTAAAACTTGACATTTGGTGTTATTAAAAAGTCTATTGTTCGCTTGCTAAAAATGTTCGATTCAGAACCACTTATTGTATAGCCCCATATAATGGTACCTGTATTTTGAATTTTTCTGCCACAATTTCCACCAAATTAGATGATAACAAGTTAAAAAGCAGTAAGTTCGGCCGGGCCGATCTTTTAATACCCTCCACCATTTGCAACGAATTTGGTAGTTTTCAAAAAATAAAATCCTTAAAAAATTCTGTTAAAATTTTAAAAATACCGAATATAACCGTTATATTGGGATCTATACGACGTGGACATACATATGCATTGTTTGTCATAAGCCATTACCATATTCAAATTCGAAACTGGACCCAAACCGACAATTTTCTGTCACAGACTGTAGTTCCCATAACGAACTTCAAATACCAAATTTTAAACAATTCCGGTTAATAATGTCGCTAAAATCATCAAAATACCGAACATAGCGAGGTGCCGTTATATGGGGGCTATACGAAGACGTGAACCTGCACAGACAATTTTCAGTCTTAGGGTGTAGTATCCATTTGGAACTTCAAATACCAAATTTGAAACAATTCCAGTGAATAATGTCGCTAAAATCATCAAAATACCGAATATAGGGAGGTACCGTTATATTGGGGCTATAGGAAGACGTGGACCTGCAAAGACAATTTTCTGTCTTAGGGTGTAGTATCCATTTGGAACTTCAAATACCAGATTTGAAACAATTCCCGTGAATAACGTCGCTAAAATCATCAAAATACCAAATAGAGGGGGGTTACCGTTATATGGAGCTATATGAAAACGTGGACCTACATGGCCCATTTACGAACTTAACCTGCCTACTGGAATAATAAACATGTGTGCAAAATTTTAGCCATCTATCTCAATTTATAGATTAGAAGATTATAGAATAGAATTTATAGATAGAGTTATTACAACAGACAGACGGACAGACAGACGGACAGACAGACGGACATCGCTAAATCGACTTAGAATTTTACGCTGATCAAGAATATATATACTTTGTTGGGTCTGACATGAGTATTTCGAGGAGTTACAAACGGAATGACAAAGTTAATATACCCTCCATAGTATGGTGGAGGGTATAAAAAATATCAGTCAGTTATGCCGACAAATGGACCGAATTATATATTAGACCCATGGTTAATAGGAATATTGAGTTGGACAATGTTTGATGAAGGTACCAGAAGAAGTGAACCGATATATTCCCTTTTCACACGAGATCTTGAGTCATTGAAAATATTAGAATGTGTCAAGCTTACAATGAATAGGAGGCATATTTCTCTTTATACCCTACAACACTATGTGTTGGGGGTATTATAAGTTTGATTGGGCCAAAAATTATGTAACACCTAGAAATATTGATTTCCCACATAGGAAAGTATATATGGATCTTCCTTTCTCGCCGAGTTGAGTCGATCTAGCTATGTATGTCCGTCC